ACCTGGGGGCAGGGGCGGGCGGGGCCGGGCGAGGGCGTGGATGGTACGATCGTTGGTGGGGGGCTCCTGGGGGCGGCGTGTAATGCACGAGCGGACACGACGACGTCTCGGGGGCCGCCTTGCCTCGCGTCGCCACCCAGCCTTTCACCAGGTCGCCGCGGAGACGAGGTTGAGCATGCCTGGCCAAGCACCAAAGGAGACCAACGGGGCTCCAGGAAGAGGCGCGGAGGAGGTCGGGGTCGGGTGGGGGCGGAGGGCTATTTTCTCATACGTACTGTGTATGTACTGTGTGGGCTCTCATCCAGGTACCAAGAGAAATTATCATATAGCTAAGCACAACCCTAGTTGTGAAAGTGGGAATGTACCTCAATTGTGTAATATATGAAAGAGAAACTGAAATAAAATAATGTGCATGATATGGTTACCTGAATATTTATTTTTTACATAACATAAAGCACACAAGCTCCACAATTTTATAAAAATTTACAAAGTCTCCTACAAGACAAGTTCAAGTTGTATGCAAGTACATTAGTATGCATTAAAATCTTACAACAAAATCAGTGCTTCTTAGTTGAGCAAATTTACAAAGGATTACAAATGTGTGAAGTTTCATTCACTTTAACTAAGAAGAGAAGGTCTTGTAAATCTTCCACAGGTACTGCGCAAAATTTGCCAGTAAGCGAATATATATGAATATGTGGTACAAGCTTATTGCCAATAAAAAAATTCTCAGTTGTGGCTTGCTCGATGATTGCTAAGAATAGAGTATGCGGTGAAGGACTCGATGGAGTAGGACAGGAGACTTTCACAAAAATATCAATGGCCCCATAGTGAATAGAACTGCCACGCTTATATGAACAGGTATATGATACTGTTTTTGAACACCGAGTGTATGACCTACTTACAAATAAAGAGCGAGCCTTCTTTAACTTAAGAAACGTCAAGATTTGCAGGTGTGACTTTACATCTTGTCGGTATTCTTGGACTGAGGTGAGAACATGCTTTTGAGAAGCATCAAGATGCTTGTAGACTCCAACTGTAAATATTGATTGACTGTCACAAACATTTTCTACCTTCTTTAGTTTTAAACTTGGATGCATTACTCTAAAACAAAAGTCTTTAGTTTTTTCATTTTGGAGTGCATCAAGTTTGTTGGGGAGCTGAGATATTAGGTAACAGCCACTTGCAAGTTGAGTTTCAACGTATCGAGTACCATGGATCATTTTGAGAATATCTCCATTTAAGCTTTCATAAGGAAAGCAGGAGTACACATTCATGGGTCCAAGGTTGGTAACAACATAACTAAGATGAAGCAATAAATGAATCACCATTGTCATGTGTCTTGAACCATAAATATTTTCAAAATTCTTGACGTACTCTTCGAGTTTCTTTGCACAGGAAAGTACCTCTTCAGGCGATACAGAAGATGATAAAAGTAACTGCATACATGTTATAAAGTCAACATAGTGCTCAAGCAGCCTGTTTGGTAAAATTCCATTCAAAATAGGAATGGAAGTGAAATGGGCCCAAGTCTTGCATTCATTTCCATTCCAGTAGGAAAATTCTTCATCAATACCTCGGATACCGCGCTCCAAAAAATTAGGAGGTTTAATAGCAGCCAATCGACTATCAACAACCGGTAAATATTTCCTAATTGAAAATGGTTCACCGCTGTATTAGAGTCAAACCATAATTTAACAAGAGTTTTGATATTGCCCAAGTAGATGGTATGTAGATCATCAATCCCAAATCCTCTAATTGTGTCATACATAATCTTGAAGAGGACACTCGGAAACTTTACACCTAGTACATGAGATTTTTCATTACCTGTCTTATTTATTATATCTTGAACCTCTTTACCATGGTCTACAGTTTCCTTATGTCGCCTTAGATCTCTTTCTTTTTCATAACGGAAGACCCATACAGAACTTTCTTTACTTTGTTTTTCTTCCAAGTTTTCTCCATCTGCTGCTTGTGCTCCTTTTTTTGTCTTTCCTTTCTTGCCTTTCTTCTTTGGTTTTTCAATTTTCACACTTTCACCTTTGATCTTACAGACATGACAACTGAAGGCACCTGAATGTCCTTGCATTCCGAGAAGCATGGCTTTTGCAGGCAAATCTGCTGTAGCTGCAAGGACTACACCCTTAGCAATTTCTGTTTTGTTGGTACCAAATGGTTGAACTTTAAAACCTGTCCGAATTGTTTTCAAAGATGGTAGCAATTTACCAAGTATAATATTTACCATTGGTTTGCCCCCAAACCAAAGGCCTCCAATCAAAGTGAACTCTTTCTTGAAACGTAAGTGGGGAGGAAGTTCTAGGATGCTGAAGAAGAAGGGCCATAATGATTTTTTAGAAGATTTAAAAACAGGCACGCCATCAGCATTGAGCATCATTGAGAAATTCAAAGGATTTGATGCATTTAAAAATCCTTCCTGCACAAGTTCCTTATAAAGCTGTCCATCATAGATGTCTTCCAGATTATTTTCATTAATTTTTTTTCTATTATTTTTGTATGATAAATTTTTAAAAAATTCTTCCTGAGAAAACAACCTTTGAAGCTGCCGTTCTAGTGGAACTTCAACAAAAATACTGGTACCTTTATTTCCAGGGTGCAATTTTAAGTTTGGACATATCAGATTATTCTTGGAAAGTTCTGTAAAACAGCAAGAGCAGAAGTAATGATATATTACCGGGCTGTTCAATCCTTCAAAGTATTTCTTAAATAAGTAGAGAGAGGTTTTCATCTCGTTGTCCTCCTCTATACAATGCAGGTTGATCAAGTTTAGTAAATCAACTATTGCCCGTCCATCTAACTCATGTTTTGTAATATAAGTTAAGATGGCTGTCATGCTCTCACTAACTTTCAAAGGTGCTCCTTTATAAATAGGATTATCATCTTCATATGAAAATTTGCACTCTTGACAGTCATCATCTGAAAGCTGGTCATCATCACAATTTTTCCCTTTAGTAAAGAAAACAAATACAATAATAAAAAACATACTGTCAGGAATTTGTAAAAAATAAATAAATAAGACATTTGTAAAACATTACATTCAAAAACTTACAAATGTTAGAAGTAATGACATCTTCATCTTCATCATTCCAAAGAATACAGTCGTCCTCAGCTTGACAGGCTGTAAGTAGAAAAAACATTGTAGTGTATTTGATTTAAGTTTATAGAAATTTTAAAGTTTAATTCTAACAGAACACAAGTATCCAGTGTACTATGCACAAGTTTTCTTACAATTATTGACAGAAGATTTAAGTATAAAGAGAACCAGACCTAAAATTTAGCAGCTATAAAGTTTAGTTAAGTCAATCTATAAATAATGCTATGGAAAGCAATCTCCAGTCTCTTTGCTTTCTCTGTTCTGCTTTTATTGATGATATTAAAAATATTACATTCATGTAACTAATAGCATAAGTGTAAAGGACTGTTCAACAAGCAACCATTTTCTAAAACTCAGACGCTATTCTGTATGCTACATATATTGTCAGGAGAACGCATGGCACGAAAAGAAAGTTTATGAATTAACAGACCAAAGCCTACCAAAATCATTTTCCTTAGTGTCTTCTTCTACGGTAGGAACAGATTGTGAGGTTTCTGAAAAGAGACATACAACAAATGTCGTAAGAGATGAGAAGGACTTAGAAACATAATTTGATCATGGTATTATATTTTGCTGCACCTCCATCAGAAAAAATAAAGCTTTGACTGGGAGGCAGTATATTGCTGTCCTGTCTTTGAAGACATTTGGTATCTGAAAATAGTTGAAGGCATTTCTTATGAAAAGAAATAAAACAGCAACAGGACCAAGTTCAAATTACGGTAAACAAATAGTTAATTATTACCCTTACCGCTATCTGAGGCAGTGTCATTATCATTTTCACTAACACCTGTGATTAAAAAGCACTACTTTAGTACGTCAGTGGGGGAAGACGAAGACATTCCTTTTTGTTAACAGTTAATTATAGTTGGAATACCATCAGTTGCAGAGCTTCTCACGCTGTTCTCTGAGTCTGTCCCAGCAGGCTCGACATCACTACTACTATCGTCACTCAAAACATCTGAACCTGAAACAAACACATGAATTAAATACCTTTTTAAGTTCATGGCAACAAGCAGTTATATTCTTACATTTTAAAACATGCCTTCATTTGTTTGATTGTGAATATCATCTTCAAATGACTCATTCAGCAGGCTTATATCATTTTCATCAAGAATACTTTCCGATGAACCACTGGCACTCCTTTTTCTTTTGGACATTTCATCTGAGAGGGAGTTTGATGTAAAGCAAATGAAGGCCTAGGCACAACCAATTCAGCACCTGTCAGCAGTCAGCACCTGTCAGTACAGTAAATCAGATATTTGTTTTGATATGCATGTCATCCAAACAGCCAGGCTGCCCGGATGTTCTCAGCTTTCGAACAAAGATTCCCTTTACTCAAGGCATACATTTGATTTCTGAAGGAACCGCGACTAAAACTCACACGATCAAATCTTATAGTTTTTAGAAAATTTGTAAAGTAATAAAGTGGCACATTGGACTAGATTTACAAATTTTATGGTAAAGAAAACTATTTTCTCTTTATGATGCTGCTAACCTGAGGTGCGGCCTTGCGTACTCAGTTCTGCCGCCCGAGCTGTCTATTTTGGTTTTATTCAAGGTGACTCTTAACTTACTGATGCAGTTTCCACTAAAACTATCTAATATGTTAGAAGTGAAAAACTTTTGTGAAATTATTCCAATAGTACGTCGTAACGAACAAAATGATCTATTACGTGTAGTTTTTTTTTTTACAGTTGGCACAACAAACAGTTGACTGTCCGGTGGCTCACCTGTATCCGAGGCACACATCTTGTTCGATGTTCTTGTTGTAACGGTCTCTTGCGGCCCAAAGGCGAAAGTGCTCGTCCAATCCTTGTCTTCTTGTATGGTTAAAGCTAGAAACCAGTGATCGTGAAACTTTTTAGGTAGTAGGATGATAACTAGAGATCAAATATCGAGGAAACTAGATTTCGACGAAAATATAGGTAAGATAAAATGCCTCATGTTATATTTGCTGATGAATTCGCTCTCGCCACTAGAAAAGTTTGGGAGGTGAGCATTGGCCGGCAACAAAACTTTACTTTTTTCGTTCGGGATAATTGTTTTTCATGAAATAGAAGTCTTTTTCATCTGTGCGGCCAGTAGAGGTTAGATTTCCAATAAGCTTGTCTTCGTCACGATACACGTGTGTCAATGCTACTTCTTTCACACCAGTATTAAATGTAGGCTGAGTTATTCCCTGTTTGAAATGATAATCAGCTTATGAGGACCTTTGCCCTCACTGAAGTGCTAACTTCAACATTGGACATGCCTTTCTTAATCTAACAAGAGCCTCAATCATTTCATGTGTCTTTTCTTTCTTATTGACTATGTTTTTCTTTTTGTAGCTCCAATCATGAGGGCCAGTAAAGGTGGGATTGACAACCTTGATCACAAGAAGAAGGTAGGCAAAGGCAAAACTAATCCAACCTCTGATTCAAATAAACCACAACTCCGTGCAAGAACCAACAAACCGAACTCACCTGTTCGTTATGACCTGACTAAGATGACTACGGCTGAGGTGGACGATCTTCTTGGAAACGGTCCAGACCCGGAGACAAGCAATGTCAAAAAATCTTTAGCAGAGAGCAAGAAGAAAGAGAATGCGTTGCGTATTGATGTTGTCAGCACAGTGAATAATACTGTTGCTGGCTTGAAAAATATCAATGATGAAGACGACGCTGATAAGATGGATGATACTGTCCCTCTATCTGAGAGTGAAATGATAGAAGACCGTAATGATGACGACAATGGTCGTCACAAAGATGATGATGGAAGTAAAGAAGGCACTGACAGTGTCGCTGCTCCTGATCATGGCAGTGTCCCTGCTCCCAATCATAGCACTGTCGCAGCTAGCACAGTGGGGAGCACTATGGAGAGATGTGACAAGATCAACCAAACTGATCCAGTTCTTATTTTCTGTGGATGTGATCGATGCCAAGGTCAGTATCAGTTGAATTTGATTTGATTCTGATCATTTCTTTTACCATGCACTGACTTAAAAATTTTATCTCGTGTTTCAAATTGGTTTACAGGGCTCTTTTCTGGATTCAATAACCTTGTGCTCGCTGCCTCCAAGCATGATTGTGGAACTGTTTTCAAGACCAATAAGGTATGCTTAAAAGTAGTCTTTGGTTTAACCTGCTTTCCCAACAATTTAGATAGTGCAGTAAATATTTTGAAGGTTGTATGATTTTAATGCTTATTATTTTAACAGGACATTTCTGGTATTCTTTTCAATAATGATTCAATGGAGTTTAGTGGGAATAGGAATGGAGATACGGTAAGCTTTCTAAGTATTATTTATTCAAAGTTAAAGTACTGATAGTAGATAAACTGAAAACAAAGTTCTTCCTTTTCCTTTGCAGAAGGTTCCTCTATTTGTTGGTAGTTCCATCATGATTTCTTTAACTGACAAAACTCTTCTAAAAAATCTTGATGATGAGACTCCTAAAGAATATGTAAATTTCATTATGGATGCCATTTATGACCCTACTGAAATGGCCATGATGACTGCTAATGGGAGGACCAAAGGATCAACTAAAATGGATAAAAAAATAAAAGTCAACTTACATGGTAAGTGGCTGAAATTATCTTCTTTTCTTCTGTTTTATTGGAGTTGTTACTGAGGTTTTGTGTTTCTTCAGCATATATTCAGCATAAATTTAAAGGCCAAAAAATTACAAGAAAGCTACTGAACAAATTAATTAATGCCAAATGCTATTGTGAGAGGCGAAAACTTTGGAACAAGCAGAAGGCTCTTGGGGACTCTGAAGATATAGCTGTGCGTAAACCACTGAAAAAATTTACAAGAGATCCTAACAAACCACGAAAGGTGGCTAATCCAGGGAAGAAAAATAAGGAAAAGAAAAAGGCCTCAAAACTTCGTAGAGAATCTAAGGGTGTTAGTCAGCAAGTAATCCAACGCCATCCCAAACAAAAGATCAGTTTGGATCGTAATTCTCCTAAGAAGAACATCACTCCCACCAAATTTAATAGAAAACCGTTCCAGCCTGCAAGCTATTCATCCCCTGCTTTTTCTCCGATTAAGAAGAGTATGCCAAAGAAGAATGTTTTGAAGTCAAAGAGAGAGGAGGGTGATAGACCTGTAACAGGAGGGAAAAGGCCTAGGCCCATTTCGGTGAGTGTTTATGCAATAGTGATGTGTATCTGATATTTGTGTGTTCAGACAGCAATATTTCACTTTGTTGATCCCAAAATTATTCCCTTCCTTTTTATTTTTTGCAGGAAATATTGGGAGGAGATAAGCATGCATCTTTAAGTGCTTCATCTACTCCTTTTACTTCAGCAAAGAAGCCAAAACGAGATGAAGCTGGAACCAGAGAATCTGGTCTAGACGTAATAAGGGACAAGAGGAATGAGAAGGAGTCATCTCATAGGGAGAAGGAGTCATCTCATAGGGAGAAGGAGAAGGAGTCGTCTCATAGGGAGAAGGAGAAGGAGTCATCTCATAGGGAGAAGAAGTCATCTCATAGGAAGGATTCCAGGGAACAATTCCATGATGAAGACGACGAATATGAGGTAGACTATGAATACGAGGAAGAAATGGATTATGGTGAGCTGCAATCTCCTATACCAATAGATAGTTCTGCTAATGAAGATGATGACGATGATGATGACGATGATGATGATGATGAAGAAGATATATCGGACATTCAGACTGATTAGCCTTTTTATTTTTTTTATTTTTCTTAAACATTTAACTAAGTTTCCACTAGCATATTATTTTGACTCAATGTCTCTAACTTTATTTCTTTTATGTATTAAGTTACTTCATATGAGAATTTTGAATGTTGTTTTTTTAATTGTTTTTATGATAACTCTTATTAAGACTAAATCCAACTAGTTTTAAATTTTGTATTTTAGTTTTAAACTATGTGATCCCATTTGCAAGGGCACGGAAGGTGGTTAGATCTAACTAGTTTACAGGTTTATTCAGTCCATTAACCAGTTTTGTTAAGTATAAATTCAGCACACACTTTGGTTCAGTATTACTATTTCTATTTGAAAAACTGCTTTAATGCCTACTATGATTGTTGTTTTCTTTCCTTCAAGGCCTGTTTCTGGCAGAAGTCTTCATTTTTATTTTTGAACTATGTGCCATCATTGTTGAAGTGATGAATGTATGGTTGGACCAACCAGTTATTAAACATTTTTGTTCAGCATTAATGATGAAGTATATTGTTAAAATGCTGCATTACTCAGATCCAACCTGTTACTTTCCAGCAATGTTCAGCTCCACCCCCATTTTCATTGAGTGATTTTTCGGACGGATTGCCTGTGCACGCCTGCAGAGGTCGAGTGGGGCAGGCCGCCCTACAGGGACGCG